ATTCTTTGTCTTCACCCAGAACAGGGATCACCAACCTTGGTAATTTTAAGGCTTGTGGACTTCAACTCCCAGAATTCCTCAGCCAGCTGTGAAGTCCACAAGTCTTAAAGTTGCCAAGGTTGGCAACTCCTAAGAAACAACACAAGAAAGTCAGGAATACAGGAATATCATGAGGTAATTTTTTACAGTGTATAGAACACACACTGAAGAAAAAGGATAAAAAGGAACACTCCTTCATTATAGTTACAGCAACCAATCATAGAGTAGGTTGCATCATGCATGAATCAGCTGCAACTGTGCGTTCTGGCCTATTGTACACTTTACTGTTCCAAATATTAAATTCAATATCCTAACATATTGTAATTCTATTTTTATTACAGTAACAATTTTATACATATGGTGTATATATATACATAATGCAAATTGTCACATGCAATTTTTTTGCACATCTGCAGTCTCTTGTTTGGTGTTAGGTTTCTTTTTGGAGAGGGATGCATCAGTGACTATCCTTTTTCTTTATCCAGCCTTTCTCAAATTTCTTTCTGATTCTTTCTAGTCCTAACTTTATTCCTTTGACGATAATGCATTACACAATTAAATTTAGGGTCAGAATACTACTCTGAACACAATTTAGAAATGAATTATTTGCTCATGGGATTCAAGAAAAAAATATTTCTTTTTGAACATATATAATGGAATTATTAGACTCAAAGTTTTCTTGAGAATTTCAAGATCAATAAATAATCAATGACTCTTCTAAAAGAACTTGAGCATGGTGATTTAGAACACTAATTTTTCCATATTGTCCTTTAGGGGAAGGATTCTGAGGCCTCTTTCAGATTACCAAACAGTGTTGAGCCATTATATGTTTTTCTCATCTTGAACTTCCTTAATATTACACATTTGGGAAGATTTATTGAAGAAGATTTATTGTTCTTGGCAAACACATTCCTTTTAGAATTGATCTCTTGGTACCATTGGCCTAGTTTACTATTTTGTAATTTAGAATTGCTTCTTGCAGAGTTAGCTGTTTAGCAAGAAAACACTGGGCAACATGGTGGAATGTGATAGGTAAAATCAGATAGAATCTTCTTTATTAAAGAGCTATCTTGGTTTGAATTCCACTAGTTAAGTTTCTTCCTACAGCAGCTCTGCCATTTCCCTCTGCTTTCTAACTTTCCCTGGCATTTCTCAACCACCAGCAGAAGATTTGGGTAGACTGAGTTGCATTGAGATGAAAAGTTATAAAACTATAAATGTCGCAATTCTGAGTCATACTTCTTCAGGCACTACTTCTTCATATTGATGTCTACTTCTCCTTTGTAATGAAATTTTAGGAAAGACTGCTGCCCGAAAAGAAGCGACATGCTGTTAGTTCTGAACAGAACTCTAATTTTATACCCCAATAGCTCAGTTGTCTCAGTCCAATAACACTGAGAATTTTTATGTGGCTTACCTATGTGTTACATTCGGCATGCACTGAAGCAGGGACTTCTAGCACTGGTTGAACTTACTAAGAGCAATAGCTCAGAAACATCTAGGGAGCCATAATCCACATGAGGTAATTGAGGGGAAAAACTATTATACATGGTACTGCTGGATCAAAGATACAGTTGGCTGGTCAGTCCCCATCGGTCATGGCCAAATTTTCTTCTTTTCTCCTCTAGCATAAAGTAATGGGGATTGTCACAAATGAAATTACCATCTGTTTTGTAAAAGCAGAGATCACTAAGTGCAGAACAGTAGATGCATAAACCACTTCTGCTCATGAGAATCCTTGTAGCCAGAAGATTTAAGTCCAGGGGTTTTGCATTTAATTGATTCCTTTGAGTAAAATGAAAAGATGGCTCATGAAAATAGGATATGGATGAGTAGGACCATACAATGTTATATGTTCTCTTAGTGAACTAAATGGAAGAGTATTTTTAAATGCATGGAGGTCAACGGGAATCAAAGCAGTTCAACTCCTATTTAAAATTATTTAATCTCAAAAGTAGCTCACTTCTGCTTTTAAAACCTTATTCATGTTTGTATAATGATTAAATAGGCTTAGGTAGTAAAATGTAAGATTGGGTCTGTGCATATGAACAAATGTGGATGTAAATAGATCCTGGGGGTTTTCATTCCTATGTGAAATATATTCATCTAGTTCATTTTTGATCATTTAAAAGTGCAGCTATCATATGAACCAGTTGGGTTTTATTCATAAAGTTTCTATATGCAATAAAGAATATCATGTGTCTTAAGGGGAGGCCAAAGAAACAACTTAAGTATCCTTACTGGAACTGACATCTATGGTTGGGATTTCTTCCTTTCAGTTATAATACTTTTATTGTTTGTATTGTTTATTGCATCAAGAAAAATATTATTCTTTTATTATTCTTTTTTATTGTGACTTCTTAGAGATCTAGAGATGGCATTAAGACAGATGGCCTTTTACTGCATATTCAAAACAGAATCAGACCTACATCAGATTTTCACTCTTAACAATTAATTGCATTCAATCCTGAAAGTTGTTGTCTCCTTATATAGTCCACTCACCCTTATATATACCATATTTTTTGAGTATAAGACGCACTCCCCCCTCCCAAAAGCGGGTGGAAATGTCTATGCATCTTGTACAGTGAATGTTGTCAAAGCCCCGCCCACCCGCTGGTCCCCACCCTTTAGCCATTTTCGGCCTCTGCACATTGCGTTTTCGGCTTCCACATACCCCAATTATGGCCCATTCCAGGCTGCGGGGATTGCCACAGCCCATTGCTGCCATTCCCTGCCTCGGACTGTTGGGCTTTCAGCTTCCACATGCCCATTTTCGACCTCCGCATGTCCCATTTTTGGCCTCTATGCATCGCATTTTCGGCCAGTTCCAGGTGGCGGGGAGCGGCAGAATATCTTGCATATGAGTCAAATCTAATATTCAGCCAATAAAGTTTCTCTATCACTCTTTTCTAAATATAACTCATATAGTTATTATAAATGTGAATAGAGTATATGTGAGAGAAAATATATACATAAAAACATGATTTCATAATAACCAGAAAAGGTTGATGTGATCACCAAATTAGTCACACTGGATTTTAGCAAGTGTGATTCAAAACTGAATTTCATGGTCACCATGTTATGCAACTGATATCTAATGTTACATACAGCACATTTGAATAAATGTTCTGAAAAGCAAACTTTAAATATGAGATGCACAAGAATGTCCGGAATTAAAATGGAGCAAAGACTTTTTAAAATAATGTGCATGTATTTTCAAACCTTGATATCTATCAGACTCTTGCTAATCTTAGTACATGAAATGAAGCTTGACACCAGTATCTTGCTATGTTCTTTTTCTATATCTATTGTGGTTACATGAATTAAACTTAGCCAGGATATCATGATCTGAAATAAAAATTGAATCCCTGGGCAAAGCAAAACAGAAGTGGATCTCTAGTCTTTTGTTTTTGGCACTGGAAAAATACAGAGCTTTTATAGACCCAACTAGTTAGAATCTCAATAGAGGCTAAAAATAGAATGGGCATTTTGTGCATTAAGCATACGTAATTAAATTAGTCCCTCTAGAGCAGGGGTGTCAAACTTTCAGCCTGTGGGCCGGATGCATCAGGTGCTGGCCCCGCCCCTGCCTGGTTTAGCAAAAAGCCCCAATACGTCACGTGACCCTGCTGTGACAACACGAGTTTGACATCCCTGCCCTAGAGAGAAAAACAACCTAGCCCCTTGTAAATGGGAATCAGTGGAAGTTTCATGGAAACCTCATGATTGTGTGATGACAGTGCATGTATAGAGAGGATAAAGAAGTGATGATTAGTACCTTGACCTTTTTTATATGCAGATATAGCTTCAAAAACATTGCTGGTGGAACTGTTCTTTCTTTAGTGATGTACACACTGAATATGACTATGACACTCACTATGGAAATCTTTCAGGACAAGATACTTCGAATTTCCTTTGTTATACCCTAGAAAAAAGTGTCAGAAATCACATCAAATTCATAAATTTGAATGTTTATTTGTTAAGACATGATATAGTTCAAGTATACACATCTATTGAACACAGAATTTACTGTGGATAAAGAACCAAAATGAAGCCAGCCCTGACTGTAAATCTTTACACTCTTGTTCTTATTATACTGGGATCTTTCTCTCCTGGTTACATCCTTGTCTAGTTTTTTCTAACTCTAGTCAGCAACAACAGATATTTCTTTTGGCTGTTTATTTTGCATTGTTTAACTTAACTAAAGTTGGTTGCTTGTATCGCATTGTCTAAATTATATAATTGATCATTATCTTGAAAGAATAGCCAAGGTATGCTATGTGAAACCAAGCCTATAAATGATCAAATATTCATGTTTGGTATGGGCTATAATGCTGGTTAAGGAAGCTGTATTCCTAATATAATGCTAAGTGAAACTCCCCCAGCATCTCACAGCAATGTCCATCATGACTGGATCTGCTTGAAGTTATAATGCAACAATAGTAAGAGAGCCAAATTCTAAATGCTGACTTTTCTATAGACTTTTTTTTAAAATCAAACTTAATGGTAGGCATTTTAGCATTTCACAGAATCCATTTCAATGCTTATCCTACTATTTTAATCTTGCAATTTTGGAATCCAACCTGATGTCACAAAAATTCAGTTCAAAACATAAACCAAGATCTGGGATAGTGTTCCTAATATACTAGCTGTACATGCAAAGGATTATTATCTTTATTAGACATAGAGATAAAAATGATGTTGAAACTCTAGAAAGAGTACAGAGAAGAGCAACAAAGATGATTAGGCGACTGGAGGCTAAAACATATGAAGAACATTTTCAGGAACCTCCTTTCCAACTCTGTTATTCTATTCTTTTCTATTATTCAGTCAAGCACCCCCAAACTGCAATCCAAAGGGGTTATTCAAATTAGATACCGCTTCTGCTGCTTGTAGGCATCTGGCTGGCTTATCAAGCATATTATGAAATGATTAATGACTATCCTTTCTATTCCTTTCAGGGTCCACCTGGTCCAAAAGGTGAGAAGGTGAGTCAGCCAATCTCTGCTACTAACCAACTAAGCGGAAGTCCTCCTGATAGTAACTGGTGGCTATTGAAGCAGTTATGATATGAGATTATTTAAGAGAGCTGGGTTAGCACACACGCTGTGTTAAAACTATCATCTTTCCACTTTGCAGGGAGATCAAGGTGATCAGGGCCCTCGGGTAAGCATATTAACAAAAATGTTACACTCCCTCATCCCTGACTAGGCAGTTAGTCCATAGCGCAAAACTAAATTCGAGCTGAGTGTCGAGCTAATTATGCTTATTAGCTGCTTTTACCCTGCATGTTGTAGAAAGTGTCTGCAGGAGAGCCAAAGGCAAACACGATTTCACAGACCATTCAAATATACAAGTGAAAAGAGTTCACACTATACACATTACTGCATACACTAAAATTCACAATCTCTGTGGTTCGATAGCCATATTCTAGAGAATGATTGTGATGGGCTGCATTAGAAAACCATCTTGCCTAACTAAACTTCCAGCCTTCCCCACCTGTTTCTTTTGTCAGATCTGCATGAGCTTCTAATAAAGCAAATGACAGTTGGATTTATTTTTTTTAGCAAATTGTACTTCTTTAGAAAGGAATTTTGCATGCCTTTATATTGGCTTTTTGGAAATAGCAATCTGTTCTGTCTATCTAGAACATAGATTAGAATTAGCTATATAGCAGAAAAAAACAGCTTTTGCCGGATTCTGTTGTGCTTGCTTTTTTAAAAGCAAAGATAATGAAACAGGAAAAGATACTGTTGCTCTGAGAATGCCAGTTGTTTCTCTTTACATATGTGCATGGTAGTAAAAATAGAACAAACACCAGTTGGTGCCAGCAAACAATTGTCGGCAGAGGGAGAAATGTGTCACTCCTTTAGCTTTCCCAATGGACCTGGCAGTGGTGGCTCCGTATTTTGAAAGAGACTTAGTTGCCTGCCTCTTTGGAGGATGCTCAGAAGGAAAAGACACGGGAAGGGCTCTTTCAATGGTCTGTAATCTTGGATAGATAAAATGAACATGCAACACCAGTAAGGAGAAAAAGAAAGAATGAGAGACGGCAGCCTGTGATTTCATCAGCGATTCTTGGTCAACTTGAGTCTTGATGACAGGGCCAGTTCTAGATCCTACCTAGCCCTACTCAAGTTACTTTTGTCATCTTGCTACAGCAGCCTGGTCTCTTCACACATCCTGGTGTGATGGTAGGAGACCAAAAGGAATGCCTAAACAGCAGCAGAGTCAGTAAAACACTTTTTCTCTCTGAAAACTTTTTCCGATTTTTGTAAAATATGTAGTCACAAGAACCAAGAGCTAATCAGCTCAAGATTATCTATTAGCTATCCCAACTTCAAAACTCCAGCAGGCATTGACATCCATTTTGATACCTCTTGTACAAGGTGTTGGGCTCCGAATGATGGTGTTTTAAATTTTTCTGATAGTCTCACAGCAAGCCTTAAACAAAGATTGAAAGATACCATAGAAAATGTTCAGTATTTATTTCTTAGCAGCCTGCTGTCTCTGCCAATTGCGTTCTTAGACCAGGTTTCTAAACAGTCTTTGCAGAGAATGACTGCAACCTACTGCAAACTACTGCAAACTCGGTTGACTACCAACTATTTAAACATATACTCTTTAAACTCCTGCATAGCTGCCTGGTTAGTTCAACATATCTGGAGGTTGGAGAATCCTCGCCTGCCAAATTGTTAATTATTTGTGTAATTTTCTCTGAGCTGTATGCTTTTCATGTGGGATTCCAAATGTGTTTGCTATTTAGTATATATTTGTTTGCACAGCTGAGAGAACCAATAATGAGTAAGCCTATTTGTGAATTTATAGCTTGTTAAGTTTATTCCATATAGTAGTTTGATAGAAATCTGGTAACTATGCTGCGATGCACTGAATATAAGGATAGTTATCCTAATTGCTTTTCTCTCCTTCCAACTTTTCTACCAGGTACAGAGATGTTGAGCCAGATTCTTGCTGTGCATGTAGCTAGGAAACAATAATGGAAAAAACTACAGCTAGGATATCTGTTATTCGGGATAATGAGTAGAGATCAGTTCAAACGGTCATTATAGTTGTTTTGTACTTTTATAAGGCATGGTGATCCAGGGAGTAGAAGCAAACTTTTGTTAGCGTTGTATCAAGTCATAACATTCCAGAAAGCTGCTTGCTTTGAATCACTCAGAACTATTAAGTCATTCCTGTTTTATTCATAGCATTGTTATTTAATGCACCTCTGGATAAAACCTACATGTGTGGATTGTTAGACCCCAACGTACATATCTTTTCAAAAAGTTTGAATAATACTAATTTTAGTTTTGATACTGGATGATGCCAGCGGGCTTTTCTGTGCACTTGCCAATTCTGAATTTAAAAACCCACAATTACAATTAAAAACACAAAATTCAGCAGGGATGGAAGATATGTGATCATTCAGGTTGCTCACATCAAATATTTCATATCCATGATTTTAGGTGCTATGATGTCTAAAATATGTAACATTTTTAATTTCCTTAAAAGCAAACAAGAATGTCTTGATCCAACTAATGATCCAATGCCCATGTATTGGCAGGAGTGATTCAGTCATCCATGGCCAGCCTATTCTACGGATGGAAACTTTGGGTAGGATTTAGTAGTGGTATAAATCAGAGGTGGTATTCAGCAGGTTCTGACCAGTTCTGAAGAACCGGTAGCGAAAATTATGAGTAGTAGTAGAACTGGTAAATACCACTGGCCCTGCCCCATCTATTCTCTGCCAAGTCCCAGCTGATCAGGAAGAAATGGGGATTTTGCAGTAACCTTCCTCTGGAGTGGGGTGGGAATGGAGATTTTACAGTATCCTTCCCAGTCATGCCCCCCAAGCCACGCCCCCCAAGCCATGCCCACAGAACCAGTAGTAAAAAATTTTGAATCCCACCACTGTTATAAATCTTTCATGAGTGTTGTGTAGATAAGATAGCATCCAATATATTGTGACTGATAGAGAAATAATTAGACTTCCCATCCAATGTCCCATTGGATTATGAGAGTAGGTCTGTGCAAATCTTTTGAACAGGTCATCTACTTTGAATTAATCAATCCCAAAGTCATTTTACAAAACAAAATGAGATCTTGCTTCTAATAGCAAAATGATCATATTGCCTTATTTGGCCTGTTATTAAGTCTCTCCCAGCTTTTTTTTTAGGGCTTGTACAACAGAGAGGAGAGTTTGTACAATAGAGAAAGCTGGAAGGAGTTTGCACAATGGGAACAGGATTTGTACAATAGAAAGAGTTGTACAATGGAGAAAATGGAAAGGAGCCTTCTCGAAGGCTGATGATTGATTGATTGATTGATTGATTTGTTGGAACCCGGTTCCAGCAACCCAGGCCTCCAAGTTACTATTGGTTCAGCTGAACCGGTCCAGGTGGTAGGAACCCACCTCTGGAAGACAGACTCCACAATTAACTGAAAAGTTATGATGCAATCTAATTTCAGAGCCTCAGTTAAGTTTCTGAGTAGATGAAAAGCATCAGTCCCCAAAAAAATGAGTGTGGTCTTCATGCTACCTTCCTCATTGTTCAGAAGCAAATTTTGGAAGCATGGAGGTGCAGAGCAAAGAATGATTAAAAACTCCTTTAGCAATACTGCTGACAAATGCTGGATATATTTCTGCAGAGAATCGACAGCTGGATATCTTTCCCAATGTGTTTTAGAAAGTATGTCTTAGTATTAGGCTGTTAAAGTGTGTCTTTATTTTAGCTATAAAATGTTGGCTGGTAGGTACTAAAGGTTTTAATAATCTAGCAATCTAATTTTCAATATCTTAATTGGAAGTGTGCCTCTTGATTTGATGGGCAAGAATCCAAAATTCTAGCCGTCTGCGACTCATAGAAGCATTTTGTCACTAAAAGAAAGCACAACAATGCCTTTGCTAGAGATTTTTTTTCCTTTTTTGGATCTTGACCAGTTTAACAGAAACTGACAAATTATTACTGCATATTTATAACTTAGTAGATAGATTGAAATCTGAAGTGCTCACTCTGTGAACATTAAAGATGGCTAAAAAAAAGACTCATTGGTGTTTTCAGTTATAACAACAACTAGAAAAAGGGTAGCCATTACCTTTCCTTTTAATCTTTCATGCATTTTTCTAAATGTACTAGGTGGAGATATGGAGAACTAGATTATGCTTTCCCTATATTACATCATAATCCATAGATAATTTCCCTTGCTATAAAATTAGTAATAGTTCATCTCTTGTCATATTGGAAAATGACATTGAAATTATCACAATACAACTTTATACAGGTATGAGATTTAATATATTACAGTTTTTTGTTAACCTATTTTTTAAAAGCATTTATATCTGAAGACAATTCCAGTACTTTTTCTAAGGAGACAAGTTTTTGCTTTTGCTTTCGTGAAACCATGGGGAGAAAAAAATGGAGCAGGCCTTTGAAGATTGCAGAGTAACTTCTGCTTAAAGAACATTGCCACCAGAGGATCATTCATGATTTATAGTCCAACTAGAACAGTAATTAATGAAAGGAGAAGTTGAGTGTGCATGAAATGGCTCTAATTGAATATGCTAATCTATTTTCTATTTCTTTCTATAAATGATTCATTCATTCCTAACACATGGAAAATTTATTGTTTATTAACCTTAACAATCATCACCCAGCAGTTGATTTTCGATTAGGTTTGTGGTCTAGGTACAGCTCATAAAATTATTTTCTTCACTTGGTGTTTTCTAAATATTTTTTTTAATTAGTTGGGTCTGCATGTAACTAAAAGCATCTTTCAGATGTGCTCAGTTGCAGAAAGTGAAGGCATTCAGAATTTTCCTTTATTATCTTCACTTGTCTTAATCTTGGTGATTCAACACATTGTTTTGCTAGAGAAAAATTCAGATTAAGATTCTTATTATATTTTGTTTGTCTTTTATAATACTTCTAATACATAAATTGAGATTAAGGTCACATTCATTTTCATTATAGACCTGGGCCTTTCTTTGTGGATGGACTGAGGTTGTAATGTCAATAATCTTAAATTGGATTAGAGTATTAAACAACATCACTGATGAGAGCTGAACTCTGAGAATGTGTTTTGTAGCACACAGATTATTTTTGTGCTATGCCATTTCTACTATAACACAACATCATTTCAGAGAATAATGTCACTGGATTTGG